TGTACACAAGACTTAATTTACACAAAAAAGGAAGAAAAACATGCGCCTCCGGCGTTCTTTCTACGCATACCTGTAAACCTTTATATACATGTACGATGCATATTATCTATCACAAAATTCTAGACAAAGGCTCGTCGAATCGCCTTCATCCTCGACACATTATGATTATTACTACCGGACAACGATCGTAACATCTCAGCAACGTAACTATTATAGTAAGGATAATCAATCACGAATCGCAACGAATCGGGCCGTGTCCATCGAACGAAACACTCACCTGGAAACATTGATGCATGAAAAGTTTAATAGGATATCCCACGCCTACCTCGTTCACACGTTAAACAAGCCGCGACAGAAACGACGAATGGTGGAAAGGCGTCCGTGTTTAACATCGATCTCGTTGTATACGATTCGCCATCGCAAACAAATTGGGGGCAAACGAACACTTTCGAAATCAAGAAGAGCACCGGGCCCTTTTTTATTTTTCTTACAACGACGACGTACTTTACGTGCGCGCAGCGTATGAAAGTCAACCACCATATATCTGTACGTGAAACGTAATAAAGACATGTTTGTGGAAAAATTACACCCCCTGAATTATTCAGCCTTCTCTACGGTCGTTTCATCACCGGAACTACCAAGCCAGTAAATTTAATCTGTGTACTTGTACTTCGGTATTGTTTCCTTAGTAACAATATCTCCACTTCGATTTATATCGTTGACGAAAATATTTCGATTTTAAGTATCCACAACGGTCAACAATATGGCATTTATCGTTCTCGGTAGTTCTGGTGTTGAAGAAACGTTTTGCATTTGAATTTTTTATTTTTACTTCGTTGTTTATAGTTGGATAGAACACCGATCGATTGATATCGATTTAGTAAAGACCGGTTGGATAGAGTGGCAAAGTTAAGATACATGAACGATACCTTGGATGATGCCGTTTCAAGTATCCCTAACACGCATTTGATCAAAAGACGAGGCAGTATTGGCTAACTACTAGTGTCATCTTAAGAGAAGGCAGAGCTCGCGCTAATGCTCGATTCGATTCAACGATAGCACAAATGCAAGACGCAATGCCACTTGACTCTCGATTTCTCAAGTAGTTAACGAGTGGTTTGCGCGAATGCGTCGGTTGTTATATAACAAAATTAATAATTAACTCCAAGTAAGCAATAAGTTGGCAAACATCGAGGGATTTTTTTCCTTGATAAAAAATATATTTTCTTTTATATATGACGCCATATAGGCAGCATTTAACATAGGACAGCTAAAAAGATTGAGCCGCTTGCATCGTTTACAGAAAATAGCAAGACCAGTTCCTCGTCCGATTGTTTCTCGTGCAAATCGTCGTCGCATTGTTAGCTATCAACGTTACAGACATCGAGAAATATAGGTGAGCATAAGCGAAGAAACCTTCCGACAGCATACATGCCCACACCGATAGAACGAAGAAGAAGGGGTACATGGACGACAATTCGAGTGTAGTTTTCGGCGAACAGTACGTTTGTGCCGCCCTTTCGTGAGTCTTGCTGGCTACGGTGTAGTTCCGTACGCTCGTCGCTATATTTACCAAAAGTATCTCTATTAAGGCAATGTCGAATTACTCCTACTACTACGTGAAAACCATAGCCGAAGGCCCCGACACCGCGAGAACGTACAAATTCTTAAAAGGGTAAGCTCTGTATTAATTCATCATCTTTTCGTTATCAGAATTTACATCGAAATGAAATGTAACCCCAAAACGAATGCGTAGAAAATTAAAGTTCCGTGTCATTGCTCCCGAGAATGAAAGAAACACTTTTATTTTATTCGCGGCAAAGCGTATGAAAGGATTTTATTTTCATTTTCCATTAGCACTTGGAAACCTTTGTTTCCACATAAGGGAGAACCGTGCATGCAACAAATTAATTACACCGCGATGGAGCGTCGGGATTAACTTTTACAGAGAAGGTAATTTATTCGCAGGAATCCTACCCTGTTTCAACCGCCAGAGGACACATGGTCCACGTATGGCCGTTACAATCTTCTCACGCGATTGCTCAGAGGAGGACTGTCCGGTTCGGGTGACGTCCATCATCCAGCGAACACTGTTTTCAAGGTCCGTGCTCACTGTTCGTTTCTTAACAATTATCATCTCGCTCGGCGACGATTATACCTGAATTATTAACCGACGCGTATACTTTTTCTTCTCCCCCTCTCGCCACCTCTTTAACGAGCTTTTACGGCTCATTTACTCGGTTACATTCCGCTCAGCGACGAAACGATCTCAACGGAGGCGGAATGAATTCCGTGCAACTCAGCGGTGGTCGAGTAATGTCGGTAGGGGGGAAAATTTTTCCGAGTTCATCTTGGAACTCCGCCAGTTACAGCTTTAACATAAAACGAACCCCTCGCGCGGCGGTTATAACACACAACGAATTCATATTTTTAGTCGGGCTACTGCCAAGGTTGTTACCCAGTTGTACTGTCTCTGCCGCGCCTGTCTGCCGTTAGCGTTCGTTATCCTAATTTATTGACACGCCGATTGGAAAAATAATCGTTCGCCAATATCGCGGTTGGTAATGATAAATTAAATGTCAACGAATGGTAACGGTCTTGCGAGGAGTTTTAATGCAAGTGTTAGGGTCTGTTCAAATTTTCTATTAAATTACATTAAAAAAATTTCAAAATTGCCAAAGTTATAACCGTTTTTATCACGAAGGTTCAGGTTTAAAGTGCCACCATTTTACTAGATTTTCTTTAAATCCTTCATTTCCTAATTGACGCTACAATAATATTGAATAGTTGTTACACTCGACGCAAATATGGTGAAATTAGCACGCGACTGGCAATAAATCATGAAACAATAAATACTGCTTGAAAGACCTATACCCTTTGTTGTTTTTGCAAAAATTGTAGAGTACCATCGTTTCAACGAATTGAACATGTTTCCATCTGACACGCACTGCCCGGGAGGGTTTCGAAATAAACAACGCATTAACCTAACGAAGATACCACCGATGAATGCTTTTATTTCGAATTATACGAATGCGTTTCGTGCCATCAATTCCCCAGAGAAACGGTTACGAAACAGTGGATTATTCTCTCCTGGCTAACTGCTATTCGAGGAATTACTAGGCAAGATGCAGCAACAGATTACATTTAAAATGATACCTAAAATATACATTCGTTTTAAGACATCCAAGTTTCCGTATTTCGTTTCATTAATACCACTGATATATCTATGAAAACCACTGTCCCCAGAATATTATTACCAATAAATTTATTCGCCACACAAGAAGAGTTTTTAATGGGAAATGGTATTTCCACGATGAGATTAGAAATGGAGGATCCCAAGTTGTAGGATAATTTAGAAACGCAACGATTCTAAATTCCCATTTTCATATCTTCCGTCGAGCATAAATCGCCTCTGCCAAAAACTCGATACTTAAAATCAAGCAGACCTGTTGGAGGTTGATAAACTGCCAATAACTCTGCTACATTAACAACAGTTGCAAAATAATAACTCGAATTATGTAAAGTTCCAAAAGAGACCAAATCTGGGACGCGGTTATAATATATTTTGGATTATGAATATCTTATAAGCGAACACTGTCTTTTCACTGAATCTCAGTGTAGTAAACTAATTTCCTTTTTGATTTCCTATACGTTTCATCGTAACTTATTCGTTACAATTTGTCCATTGAAGAAGATAAAAAGGATAACGATATTTTATTCGTTTCTGCTACTGATATCTGTGCTAGTTCATCAAAAACGAGAGAGAACGGTCTACGTTAAGAAACCGAGTATCCTGTTACTCGAAAATAGCCTCCTTGAACAATTGCGTCTCCTCGTCAGTTCGAATAATTAGTATGAACGTATGCGGATAAAACGGGACGAAGTAGTAGGTAGCGTAAGCCTCGCCAAAAGCGTCGTATGCAATTACCGCGAATCGCGGTTCGCTTTAAACATTTTTAAATAGTATCAGCATCGCTGAGTACGGAGTATCGTGATCTGTTCGAATTCTGATACTTCCCAGACGATAGAGAAAAAATAAAAATACCAAGAACGTAAGCATTCGACGTATATGAACATAACAGTCACGCGCAAACATTTTCAGGCGATCGCCCTTTTCGTTTCAATCTCAAAAAAAAGTTAAAGAGGAAGATTTTTGAGAAGCGGCGAGTATCGGAGCACCGTCATAAACTGATCACCACGTGGATTTTATTCGTCATCCATTGCTCGAATAAAACATTTCCTGATCGTGAGTCAAGCATGACTTTATTTAGAATTAAACAGCCATCTCATGTACGAGCTGGTCTTAAGTCAACCGGAACATAGGTACTGGAATAAAGATCAGTTACTCAAATATTTACAAAATGAGTGGTGAAGATAACGAGTGATATCGTTAACTAATTCATCGAATCACCAATCGGACGTATCGCTGTTATCTCTTCCAATTAGATAACAAAGAAGATTAAAATATTATTCGTCGTTAGAATCACGCATGGCCGGGCCTACGAGACACTGTGTACATTGCGTATATAACGCCATACTTTCGATATACCGCCGGCGTCGACACATCGACGCCGACGCCGACGCCGCCAGTCGAGCGGGGGAGGATACTTTGGTTCCAGGCGTCCGTCTTTTGGGAAATGTCAGTCAGTGTATTGCGTGCTTCTCAGCTCGAAAGTCGGGTCCACGCGGTCACCGAAGAATCCGCGAGAGTTTCTAGTCTCGTTCGCGTACTTTCCATTCGACGAAGCGAATTTTAGGGAAACCCAACCGTTTCCTGGTGTGTCATGTTGTGATATAGTCAACGTATCACGTACGAAGGAAATTTGATGCTCGTGAAACGAGCGCGTTTGGTCATGAGGAAATAATTTCTAGAGGATCAGAGTTTGTTAATCGGTCGAAGCAACGAGGGTACCACGGGGTAAGAATTCTTCTGCATGATGTAACCTTGACTTCGTGTCAGCTGGCGCACTCTGAAGGGAGTGCCACCCGATCGATGGCACGGTCGGTCTATTTACTTGCCGACACGACTCTTATCAAACTGATAGACGTAGAATCGAAGGAACACTCGGAAGTAACTTGTACGTTTGATAGGAATGCTCTCGAAGGAATCAAAATAACTTCGGATAGTTTAATCTTACGTACGTGTTTGACAATTGTAATAATCGAAACACATTCGTTTTACAAAAAATATGATCAGGTTATGAACACTACGGTAATTGAATAATGAAACAGAGAATATGTTGGCTTCTTTATCGGAAAGCCACGAGCTGTGTACGAAACATACACCAAACTCCTGAAAATACTGTGTACGTTTACTATATTTACTCCGTAACAAATCAACCGCAACGTTCCAGAACATCAAAGTCAATCTCGTATGGCAGCATCATAAGCTACGTTGAAAACACGTGCTATAATGACGTAATTGTTTTAATTTCGGCTATTTATGAACGTGGTCCAATGTACATAGCGGTGTAAATAACCCTTTCGTTGCGGCGTTCTTTGGAGGAGTGAATCTAGAGATCGAATGATCGGCATTCAAACAGTATTTTTCATAAACAACTGAGACTTGACACACGAAAGACTTTTCGATTCATGTTTAAGTTCTTTTGAAGTTTGTTAGTACTGTGCCACAGCCAAATTCTTTCATTTATTAGTTTCATTTATTAATACGCTTGAAGGGCTCTCTTGCAAAACGAAAGAAGGTTCCTTGCACGGCAATTAAATTACACAGCGTGAAATTCGGCAAATCTGTGATTCCATAATCGGTATCTGGGTCAACGTCAAGGTGCCTTCTGCCCAATGATACCGTGGGCCAAGTTTGAAGGTCGACGCTCCAAAAACGGTGCGACGTAGCGCCAAGGCCTACTTTCGTGTATCCCCTTTAACGGCTCGATGTCGCTATGCAAACGTGATAACGCACAAACCTGTTTGAAACGCGACCACAGACTAGCTCAACGGAGGCGAAACTCTTGTCAGAAGAAAATTTAGAATTTCTATCTTACCTGTTAATAATTTTGTTCAGCACGAATATAAATCACAAATACAAATCTGGAAGTAGCATTGCTCTATCAACCTCTATCTAGAAATTTGGCTACTGGTTACTTATAGACTTTCTATAGTTAACGAATATGGTACACAAACCCATTTAAGTAAATAACGAAGAAAAACGTAATTCGCCAAATAAATAACAAAGTATCTCTATTAAATTAAGCACACATCCATAAAGGTCATTGAACAGAATGAAATATGTACTCAGAACCGTCTAAGGTAAATATTCAACTTGCGAAAATTCGCAAGTCCATCGGAAGGTTAACGTACAGGACGCGTCTTTGAGTGATCATCCTCGCTTGTTGTTTATCAAATGCGAGAGTGAGTCAGAGTGTCCTTTCTCTGTCTCTCGAACGTTTAAAGTATACTCTGTCATTATCATGCGTAGGGAGTGTGCGCAACGGACGTGAGCTCTTAGTGTATAGGAAACACGTTATCGAACAGTCGTGTCTCGCTTCTCCGTTGTCGAAGGGAGTCAAAAGACCTTTGTACGCGAATAAGAAACGTTATGGACCTAACGCGTTACAGGATGAACGAATGTTTTGTTCTAGTAGACCCAACGCGTTGTTAGACGGCAGATCATGTTGATCGGCGCATTCGCTCAACGCCCAACGTGTAACCGCGCCGACATTTTGTTAAAAGATCGGGTGGATTCGAAGGTGGTCGGGACTTGGCGTCACAGGTCCGATGGTGCAGCCAGTAAGTGATAAGCAATCATCGGAAGGAATCGTTTGAGGACATTGTCAGCATTAGGTTACTTCTACAAAATGGACGAAACAATCGAGGCAACGAATAAACGGGAAAGTCGCGATAAAATTAAGAAAAGAACGATTTCCATAGAGCAGAAGTTGGATATCGCTGTGAAATTAGAGAACGGAGTACCCGTACAACAATTAAGTTTCGAATACGGTATCCACCCTGCGACTGTCCGTCGGATTCGACGAAAAATTTCGATCTTGCGCTGTTACAGCACCCAAGGTATCCACGCTCGGAAAAGAAAAAGAATACGAAAACCGCCGCACCACGAATTGGAAAAGCGCCTTAACGCGTGGTACTTGGAAAGAAGAGCGTTAGGAGAGACAGCCACCGACCAGATACTGCATACGAAAGCCCAGGAATTGATTCAACAGTTTGCAGAAACGCCACAATTCAAGGCTAGTATAGGGTGGTTGGCGAAATTCAAAAAACGATACAACATCCGTCTAGCGTGCACTAAAACTAAACGAAAACCACAAAAGGATATGGCGGGTGTCGAGGAATACCCGTCGTTTTTTACTTGCAAAGTGGAAAAAGAGAACCTCGCGTACGAAAACGCGTACGCCATTGATGAAACTAGTCCTACCTGGAGTAAGATTGAGTTTGAGGATGACACGTATGAAAAGTGTCAGGAAGAGAATGAAGAAGAACAGGAAAGACCACCGGAAAACGTACAAAAAGAGCCAATTGCATTCGTACAAGAACCACTAGGAAACGTAAAAGAAGATTCACTGGAAAACGAACAGAAAGGGTCATTTAAGTTCGTACAAGAATCGCTAGAGAACGCGCAAGGAGAGTCCCAGGCAGATTTACGAAGAGAAGAATTAGAGAAAGCATTCGGCATAATAGCGAAGTACTCGGAACACGAGTCCCAATTCATTCAACTAACGATTAGAAATTTACAAGAGCATTTCCTGAGAAGACAAGATTAATAAATCTATGAATCTAGAATTAAAAAGTCAACCATAGTGTATACTACAAAAAAGGGTATTTACACCTTGTTCGCAGTCAACGTATTAAGTAAGAATGGGGTAAGTCATTTAATGCATATCGAAAAAGGAAATGTAACAAAATTCATTTTCCAAAGGCCCGAGTCGATCTCTTAACGAAATGTCCGAAAGATGGAACGAAACAAAGTACGAATACTTGAATATTTATTTTGTTATTTTGTTGTATGACTTACATTAAATTCCGTCTCAATCTCGCCTTCGACAAGAAAGAAGGGAAAAACGACTGCTAAGAGTACCTCTCTACGTTAGTAGCTCGCGTCCGTTCTGTACCTGAACAACACGAGACAAACTATCAATGCTTTGGTTATTGTGTACCCTTAGAGGTTATGAGATTTGGTTATATACTTGTTTTACAAACAAAGGTTTCGATGCGAATGTCTTTGGTATTAGATAAAGATCGAATATATACCTGCGGTGACAAAAAAGTATTATGAAACTGCGCCAGTAAACCGAGTATATAGGAGGTGAACTATATCGCGACGTACGTATACGTAACAACGAGATTATTAAGGTAGACGTTGTTGAATCATTCCTCGTACTAGTCAACGTCGCGTGACGAACACACTACGAGACACTGAGCCGACGGTTCAACGATATACATTCAATTTGTAACGTAGACGAAGGTCGGGTCCAAGAAATCTCCTTCCGGTCACAAGTGGTCGTAAAGTCATCGAATTGCGTAGAAAACATGTAAACCTCTGAAAAGTTCGTGCAGTGAGTTAGGTGTCAGTTCCGTCGATAGACACAGAACCGGTGCTTCGAACGAGACGGTTAGTTATCATACGCGATAACGTTACAGGAAAACCGATCTAGTCGCTCCGTAAAATAATTATCGCCGCGTCAAACGCTTCGAAGCGACGGAAGTTTGCTAGCGAATCAATTTGAATGAAACTCGTACTTCAAAAGGCAAATCGATTCGACACGTGATTATTAGAATCGCATTTCCGCATGCATAGTTTCGAAACACTAACAGGGAAGAGTATTTCAGAATCCTGGATACACGTCGGTCAGATCATAGCTAGAGCACAATGAACAACTATTCTTACGGATGGAAACAGGAGGTGATTGAACCAGAATTTGTACGACAGGAAACAAAGAAGGTGGAAGTGAGTATTGGTATCACGCTATAATTTTATAATTCGTTAATAGCGAGGAGCGGCATCGTGTGTTGCGTTTCACACAATAAAAGCAAAATAATTGACGAATATGTGTGTTTTGTCAGTTATGCAATAAAGTTAATTGGTGTTTGCGCTGCAAGGACGTTTCTGGAGTTTGAAAGGTCGCGCTTCTATAATCATTCGCGGCACGTCTCATAGATGGTGCACGCCTAATTTCCATTAAGCCGTGCGCACATCGAAAGCGTGCAAACTATATCCGAACGAAGCCGAATATAGTCGAAAGCAACCGAGAATCACTGATGCCATAATTTTTCGCGCATGCGAGTAATAAATGGCATCAATGAAGTCCCTGGTCAGGAAAAAACGGGCATCTTACGATCCCATGCTTGACAAACTTACAAACATATTATGATGAATGGATACACTGTAATATACACTTCAGGCCACGGACAAGTTGTGAAAAGATAACCTCAAAAAGCGTAGAAATAATCGTGACACAAGTATCATTTTTGCATATAAAACATGGACAGAAAACTCGTAAAAAATGTTATGTTATAATCATTTCTTCACTTGAGGCTGCTATTTCTTTATGACAGCTTTTTTATGGACCATTGTATATACAGGGTGTCCCAAAAGTCGGGGAGGAGCCGGAAATGGGTGGTAGCTGAGACGATTCTGAACAACAATTTCCTTTGCAAAAATGTCGGATGGGGCTTCGTTAAGGAGATATTAAGAGAAAACCCCGACCAATCAGAGCTCGCGTAGACCGTTGGAGCGGCCGCGGTAGCGAAGCTACTCGCTGGCGGCCGCGCTTGTACGCGAACAAGTGACTCGACGTGCATCGAAGGACATTGACGCTGACGCCTAGCGCGTAGCCTTCGCTACCGCGGCCGCTCCAACGGTCTACGCGCGCTCTGATTGGTCGGGGTTTTCTCTTAATATCTCCTTAACGAAGCCTCATCCGACATTTTTGCAAAGGAAATTGTTGTTCAGAATCGTCTCAGCTACCACCCAGTTCCGGCTCCTCCCCGACTTTTGGGACACCCCGTATACCAGAGAGATTCAGGAGAGCTCAAGTCGAAAAATACTTAAAGACTTTTCGATTTGAATTTTCCTTGTTTATTCAAATATACATGGTCTTTCCACACTCTGCATACCGGAGATGGGCAAAACCCTAGGCTTCGAATAAATCTGAAATTTGCCGATGTGTTTGTCTCGCTTCCTTCCTTGAAAATGTTCAAAAGAGGAAACGAGACCAACAAGTCGGCAAACTTCAGATTTATTCGAAGCCTAGGGTTTTGCCCATCACTGCTGCATACCAATGTACCTGAAGCTTAGGGATCTGTAAAATCTTAATCCGGTACTGCATCGCGAGTATCTGTTTATGCCGGCGATTCGGGTGCACGCATTTACGCATCGTAAAACGACGAAATAACGTTCAGGGATCACGTACTCATGCATCAGGTTTCATTCGACTTATCCTTGCCGATACGCGAGGCCAAAATTTGTCATTGACAAGCCCAGGAGAAAGAAAATTGTGCAGTATGGCGCGTTTAGCCATGCCGCGTGACGAAAGATAGGTGAGGGTAACAAGAGAATGATCTCAGTTCGAGGCTCCAGACTTGTCAACGTAACGGTTCTATATCCGCACGGTTGAATCGCGTGGAGAGTCGGGATATTGTTTCCCTCGAGTATCGTTGATGGCGACTGAGATCTGCTTTGTACAGTGACACGTGACAAAAGTTACCCGTCGGAAAACGTTGATCGTCCATCGACGATCACTTTGGAACGTAGCGAGCCAGTGGTGATCGCGATAACCTAGCCAGGGCGTAGTCAACAACGAAGATGAGTTATTACGACAATGGGAATTCAGGTCCTCTCGATGACGTCTTCGTTAAGGCGGCTGTTGAAGTCAAGCGTTTCCTACCGTCGCTTTTCAACATTAAAGTGGTATGCTCCCCGAATGTCATTCGATCAACTTTTATTTTAACCGAGTAAATTTCGTTGCTGACGCACTATTCGATACCTAAAAAGATCACCAAACTTGCTTGCAAATTTCTCGAGAAACTCGTTTAAAACGACTACGCCGACGGATAACGATTTCAAAAGCTTCGAAAACGCAGCTTTTATCACAGTGTTTCGAAATACGAGATATTCCGATGATCTTGGTTTCGGGACAGAAAGGTAAACATCGAAGACTATTAATATCGGCTTGGGATTTTATTTACCGCGGAGAAAATAAAATAATCTCATCTGTTTTTACTACGAAAAATACATTTTATTCATTTAAAAATACATTTATTGCAACAATTCTTGGGACAGAAAATTACAACGTGAAATAAATAATTCAGTAACAATTGACATTCTCAGGTGCTCATATTTTTTCCTTTTGTAATTACTGGGATAATTGTCTATCATTTGAACGGGTATTTGTGGTACGTTACAAATAATAGACATCAGGTGGCTCATGCATAAAATGTTTTAACCAGAACTATACTTATTGCTCTTAACGAATTATTCAATTTAACGAATTTTTATTTGAAGTACGTTATAATAAATTACGTTCTAAAATACTTTTATCTACAGTACATTAACAAACCGACAGAGAGAAGATAACATTTTGACAATAACATTCCTCCTGCCTTGTTCTAAATTGCGTTTAATATTGTAAATATGGAAAGTTGGAGGTATTCCTAACAAATGAAAAGTATATTTTAATGTTTGTCTTAATTTTTCTCAAAAAAAAAATATGAAAACAAAAAAAAGGGAGAACTTTTGTACGCGACTGTGACACAGAGTGAGTTACTCATCCATGACCTAACACACAGCCTCATAATCGTCGATAGGGAACACATCTGTATTACATGGCTCACGCGATTGTAATCATTCGAAGCTACCTCTGAGAATTAATTATTTAGTACTACGACTGGTAGGAATTGCTAGACGTATCGAGTCAAACGTTTTAGTTGACTAAATGTTGAGTAATATTACGTTTGATCATAATTTGATTCAAATTCATAAAGAATTATTTGTTACTCTCCTGTAACGTTTATAAAACACAGTGGCTTGTTCATACGGTAACAGGCAGAAATGAGTATTATTAAGAGTGATGTCGGTAAGAACGTTGACGCTGACAACTTCTGATTGCAACACTCGTTCAATGCGTACGCATTCTCCACCTCGCATAGATTGTTGGCTGAAATTATGATTAAACAAAATACTCACGCCATGCGTCATGTATACGCTACTCATTCATCGCACGTGTGCTGAAATGAACGGCGAAGATAAGAATATGCTTTTTGCTGATACAACTTTTATCTGTACGACCTTTAAAAGAATTTCATCTTCTTTATCTGTAACTTGATAAATTTTTAGATTCATCATCACTATAGCATCACGATAGCATCTTTGTATCTATTACCCTTGATTTTTTTTTTTTTAAATTAATGACAAAGATAAATCGCGTGCGCGTAGAATTTGTCTCCCAAGTCAAAGCGAATCTCAGAGGCAAACTCTCTACGCGACTATTACCGATGTTTTCAGTACCTCAAATTATTTTTTGGAATGTTTAAATACATTGTTATTATTATTAGTTTCCGAAATACAGCGTAATTTAACAACACTAACGTAATATCGCTCCTATTATTTATTATCGATTGTAGCATATCTGGTTATATGCAACTGACGATACCTTGCAATCTAAACTCAATGTGGTTAGTTTTCTTCCTGTTATAATAACTCAGTGTCGCGATAGATAAGTTTAATCAAAAGTATCCTGTAATAGTATACTTCCATCCCTGATTCCGAGTAGTTTATAATTTGCTTCACTGTAATAAATTCGTTCGAGCGTTCAAAAGGTGATCGCGAATTTTTCAAAGACTTTAAGTGCAAAAACTGATAACATCTAACGGTTCTCGTTTATTCGCTTAAATATATATCAAAATGGAATCGGATCGCAAATATACAAATCATCGATTGTCGAATTACTTGCAAGACGGTGTCGCAGTGTTGAAAATATCACCAACGTTAGAATATAATAAAGATGGAACGAACAACGTCAAAATTAATTTCGGTCCGTATTTCAAAACGCAACAGTCGGTGAAAGAAGGTTCAAATTCTCAATCAAACTTTACTAAAGTTAAGAAAACGTACGACGATAAAGCTGTGAAGACTAACAAAAATTATATCGGAAAATCCTGTTACAACGTAGGCTATACTGGGATTTTTAATTAATATTTCAAATTCGAATACAGAAAATTGATTTTACTATTATACAGACAAATTATATATTATGAGCGTAAATACGTAGGAAGCATTCAAAGAAAATGAATTTTTCTAGTTAGGAGAAAAAGGATCCGGATTCAGACCACGAGCAGCCGTCCAGGACTTTAGCACTCTCAAGCAAGAATGTTTGTCAATGGGCAGACTCTTCGAAGATCCCGAATTCCCACCAGTGGACTCTTCTTTATTTTTCTCGAAACGACCTGATAGATACATAGAATGGAAACGTCCAATGGTAAGGATACCGCTAGAACGCGTTGCTTGAGAATTGACCACGCAAATTTATTAACTTGTTACACTGCGCCATTAATAATATTTCGTATCGGCCATCTTGCAAGCCTTAATTAATGTATTAAATGTTATTTATTTTCTCAGTTTCATCTCGATTCGACTGATCAATGAATAGATAAACAACATTTAATTTCACTAATTTTTATAAAAAATCAACAAATTTTATATTCGATTTTAACCTTTTACTCCAGGAAATCGCGGACAACCCGCAACTGTTCGTGGAGGGTTTCTCCAGATTCGATGTTCAACAGGGTGAATTAGGAGACTGTTGGTTGCTGGCCGCAGTTGCGAATCTTACTATGGACTCTAATTTATTTTTTCAAGTAGTGCCAGAAGACCAGAGTTTCGAAGAGAATTACGCCGGCATCTTCCATTTCAGGTACATCGTTTATCGATTGAAACAAATTAGGATACGAATTAACACGTTGATCGCCATGTCACCCATATATGGGTGACAGTGCTTTTCACTGAAGAAGTAAAAAAATTAATTTTGAAAGTCAAGCATGAAAGGAAATGAATTTGAATGAAATTCATGAATTTTGAATGAAGTTACAAAAATAAATACCACGATAAACGTTTGATTATGTAGTCTCCAATATTCTAAATAATATTTCATTTTAGTAGAAACTTTAAAGAAAATTTGTTAGCAGTCAACGTGTTAACCTGATATCTCCGTGTGTAGTCATAGACGTCAATAAATAATAATAGTATGTAATATCAATCCTATGTCACAGGTTTTGGCAGTATGGCAGATGGGTTGATGTAGTAATCGACGACAGATTACCGACCTATCGTGGCGAATTAATGTACCTACGTTCAGCGGAAAGCAACGAGTTTTGGAGTGCTCTGCTAGAAAAAGCTTATGCGAAACTTCACGGTTCCTACGAGGCGCTGAAAGGTGGATCCACTTGCGAGGCCATGGAAGATTTCACGGGCGGTGTAACGGAAATGTACCAAATGGAGGAAACACCTCCGAATCTGTTTAATATTCTGCTAAAAGCTTTCGAAAGAAACTCGTTAATGGGCTGTTCGATAGAGGTAAAATTCAAGGGCTGACGTTTGTCGATTGCTCGTTAAACAAACGGGGAAATAAAACGTGTTGCTATTTTAGCCTGATCCAAACATACTGGAAGCAGAGACGCCTCAAGGACTGATCAGAGGTCATGCTTATAGTATTACTCGCGTGAAATACGTAGAAATTGAAATGCCAAATCGGGTAGGAAGGATACCCTTACTTAGGCTTAGGAACCCTTGGGGAAACGAAGCGGAGTGGAATGGTCCGTGGAGCGATCAGTAAGTGAATCGAGGAATATTGCTCGAAAATGATCATTAATTTGCACAAAGGAGAAACATTTCACTTGTTCAACAGATCACCCGAATGGAGATTTATTCCCGATCACGAGAAGGAAGAGCTAGGTTTGACCTTCGACATGGACGGTGAATTTTGGATGTCGTTTCAAGATTTCACTCAATACTTCACCCAACTAGAAATATGCAATTTAAATCCAGACTCGTTGACCGAGGACGATTTAAACGCTGGTAAGAAGAAATGGGAGATGAGTGTGTTCGAAGGCGAATGGGTGCGAGGCGTTACAGCTGGGGGCTGTAGGAACTTCCTAGGTAAATGTTTCCCCGATCTAACGTCTTTCCTTCTTTACTTCTGTTAAATGCAGACTAACGTAACTGTTAACGCTTCGCAGAAACTTTTTGGCACAACCCTCAATATCGTATTACGCTGGAGTATCCGGATGAGGACGACGATAAGTGTACAGTAATCGTGGCGTTAATGCAGAAGAACAGGCGAGCACAGAGAAGAATGGGCGCAGAGTGTCTAACTATTGGATTCGCAATATACAGCGTATGCATCTACATTGCTCATAAAAGGAACTTTGTGTTTTGTTTAATTTTATCTTGAACAAATGTTCAGTAATGTTCGTGTCATTTAAGTAATGATCAGAACCAATGACTATCTATTAGACCTACGTTAAAACAATCTAATAAGTGTGAAGACAGTAGTACTCTCTAATTTTTCTGATTTTTCCATTGATAGTAGTTTAAGGTTAATCTTCCTATCAACGTAACATAACCACGACAATTTCAATGTACAGTTGGAGAATCCTGCACGACTACCCAAACCGTTAGACATCAATTTCTTCAAATACAATGCATCCGTCGCGAGGTCGCCGGCATTTATAAATTTGCGAGAAGTCACGTGTCGTTTCAAACTACCACCTGGCGTGTATTGTATAGTTCCGAGTACGTTTGATCCTAACGAGGAGGGTGAATTTCTACTTCGAATATTCTCTGAAAATCAGAATAACATGGAGTAAGTGAACCTTTTGTTGGATTGAAGTTAAACGCGACGAAAATCCGAGATTTCTATTGAAACTTTGTTTTCCAGGGAGAATGACGAAGAAGTCGGTATTGGTGAAGTTGATGATAGGGTAAGAAATCCACTCATCAATAGGTGGTAATACATGTTAAATATGCGCACGGTAATTAACGTAACTAAACCACAGTAGTAACACGTAACAATAGGAAGTACCGTTGGTGTCTGAGAAGAATGCATTTGTGCTCGAGAGTGAGAAAATCTGATGTACGTCTAAATAATTAAGAAACAATTTCTTTTTGGAAAAACAAAATAGAATTCATCCGATAGAAATTTGATGAACTCCAATGACGACACAGATACATTCTTCTCGGGTGTCAACTGTACACATTATAAATATTGGGCCAATTTGCACTTGGCATATGCACATCGACAACATGCGTTTAATATGTTAAATTTCCATAATGCTTTCAATGTGTACTCGTGTTTGTGTTGATAGTTCCGTAATGAACTGTGTGGAACTAATCATTGACTAGTGGAACCTTATTAATATCGTAACAACTCGCACGTTTACATTGCTTGGCTTCTAGGTGCTTCACCCTAAAGGTGATAACGAGCACGGAGATGGAGATAAGGTGAATAATTTGCATGCTGTAATGTACATACAAACAACTTTCATCGATAAAATTCAATGAAAATTATTTTTTATATAAATTAATGTATATGTGTATTCTATCGCACCATTCACTTACATTATGCTTCCCGAATTTGAATATCTTCATTTTCTTTCAAGGTTCGAGAAGAACCGGAACCAGACCGAAATGAAGATAAAGTTCGAGAGTTCTTCAAAAAACTCGCTGGTGACGACATGGAAGTAGATTGGATGGAACTGAAGGAAATCTTAGATTTTGCAATGAGAAAAGGTATTATTATATACCCTTTCTTTATATTAACTACTGTTTTCTCTGTTTTTGTTACAGTATTTTTGTTGATTGCTTATTATTAAAAAGCTTCTGTAATTTTCATGCTTTTTAATTTAATATTATTCATAGTTAATGACAATAGCATAATTTACGTAATTACGCTTCTTTATCATTAATCACTCATTAAAAATATTTTATGAAACCCGCGTAAATAGCCCCCTGCATTTTGATTTTAAAAGTTAGTTATGCACCATTTCGATTAATTCGTTTTCATCGTGAATCTGTTATTGTAAGAATGCTACTTAATTATATCTGCACTTTACATTTTCTTTCTTGTATAATCATCTCTTTCTTTCTCTTTATATTGTTTCTTACATAACATACATAAGTACATTTGGGTCGTTGTGCAAGGCAGAAATTTTCATAAGAAAATTGTATCCCCTAATTTGGGACATTGTTTACTTTAACCAAGTTATTAACACAGCTGCTGCGAGCAGAGATTTGTACATTCAATGTGCAATTAGTTATAATTGGTCATGACTAACGAACACTTGTTGCTAAACGAATGTACTTTTACATTAGTATTCAATAAAACTAGATTTCAGGAAGCCAAAACAATCGGAGATGATATTCTGTAACATATAAAATTTATGGCTGTAATTTATACAGCATGGTAAATATATTATAAGTGCAAACTTTAGAGATTGATACAACTCATTAGTCTAACTAAGAAAGTTTTTAATTCCACTACCGAATGAAAAGATCCACGAAAAATACATCAAATCAAAATTTTGCCATGAAGTGTAGTGTATGTATTGATTCAAATGACCCGCATGTACATATGTAAAATTTAATGTTAACATGTAGCTGTATGTTACGGGTAGAACTACCACAGTCGTCGGGTCGTAGTGAGGCTCATGTCACTGAAACCGTACAAGGAAATGGTTCGTTTATCGACACTATCATCTCACTGCTGTGCGGCATTGTTTGTAATAATGAACAGTACAATAAGTCCGTAGGTAAGACATCACCTACTATATAATTCATACTACACCAGGTCACCGTGTTGTACGTAACGCAAACTAAATCACTGTAAACGTTAGGTACTTTTTTACATTGTGGTTAGAGAAAAAGAATCTGTTCAGAACCTGGAATCTTTTAGCTACAAGGTCCGTTCTTGAGAGTTGAAAACATTTACAGTTAATTGTTAGATGACACAGATGAAAGTAAGACTAAAAAAGAAGAAAAATTGCATCCAGGTTTGTCAATTCGACTATTAGATTCTTTTTCTCTCTATACGCAGTGAAGTAGCATAAAATACCCCAAGGAAATAAATTATTCCAGTTCTCAAAAAAATTTGCACTTATCCAAATTGAAATATCATCTACTCTTCTGTCTCAAGCTCGCGGTTACGAATCAGTGGCGCTTAGAGAGGGATTACTGCACTATCCTTCTATGATTGAATATTTTTTGCATGTCCTCTTACCATGAAACCTTAAATTTCAAATGCACTATGCGAAAGTGTCATGCAGCTAACTATAGTCTCGTTAGCCTACTGCTATGTATTTGTAATGCGTTTCTACCTGTGATAATGTCGTAAGCAGTTGTACTTTATGGTTATTGTCTTTAATATTTCAGAAGTTTATTCTTTCGGTTGAGTGTTCATCGCAAAGCAGTAACATACGAATTTTAACGAATATTACAGTTGGAAGTACTTTTCTAATTTCAGAAACACGCGATAAAGGATTCAGTAAGGACGTGTGCCGTAGCATGGTTGCTATGCTAGATGTAGATCATTCAGGGAAACTCGGATTCGAAGAATTCAGAACTTTGTGGAACGATATAAGGAAATGGAGGGTATGTTAAATCAATTAAATAAATAGAGAACACCTACGAACATCATATTTTCTATATTCAAGTAATAAAATCTGGTCAATTCACTTTAAAATGGTATTGGTACTCAGAGAGTACCAATGAGATTTTGTCACTTGAAAGTATGATTGATTGTACCATTCAAAAATAATTTTCATAAATCCTGTTCAATTTTCAGGCGGTTTATAAATTATACGACAAAGACGATTCAGGATTCTTAAGTGCGTTTGAACTACGACAAGCGTTAAATAGCGCTGGTTACCGACTTAATAATCATATTCTCAACATTTTGGTACACCGTTATGGAACGAAAGACGGCATGATCACGTTCGACGACTATATAATGTGCGCTGTGCGACTCAAAACAATGATAGGTGAGCGAAATAATAGTTCTGACTAAAATCGAAGATCCTAACAGACATTTTGCGGTGCAAAATAAGTTACATTATTTTTTGCAGACATTTTCAGAGAACGAGATCCGGATTTAACTAATACCGCAACGTTTACAATGGAGGAGTGGATAGAGAAAACCTTATACTCGTAATCTAATCCGTGTGTCAAAAATGTTGATAAAGAAAGATAAATACGTCAGTGCCGTTCGTATCGTCCTTGTTATCTGTAGACTATTTCTTCTATCATGAAAAACTTGACGAATTTAAACTCTACCCGGACCGAACAACTCTTTTTTTATATTCAATTTCCATGTAACTCGTTTAAGTACACAGTATCCCACAATTGGTGATGCAATGGAACAAAAGATGATCCTTTTTCTAATGACTTGATTAATTTTTTAAGTGTATCAAAGAAATAGACAATGTAAAATATAGAAGTAAAAGACAAAAATAATATCAGTTAGTTTTACTACAAAAACATCTTATTTTTCCAAAAAAAATCACTTTGCACCACGTATTTTGGGATATTATTTACAGATGAACCGAGGACTTCATGGAAGAAAAGTAGAAGAAATGATCAAGAATGTATCTACGTTCTCATTGAGAAATTACAAATAGAAATCGTACCATTTATAGTAATTTGTCTTTTGCATTTGTATTGGTACTATTATATACGTAGGCAAAAACGTGGTTTTACGTGCCTTAAGATAACTTTGACAGAATCATAATTTTATACAGAAAGTTCTTCTATGAAACATGTAAATGATTTAAGGAAAATTGACGGCCTTCCTTGTTATGTAAGATATACATATATACGAAAATTGTATAAGTTAAGTATCCATCTGAACTGTATTCAAAATAAAATTCTATTATTTTGCATTTGAACCAGTATTTCTTGTCCCGTTTTCGCAATATAGTTCTGATAAAGAAACAACATTCAAACATCATATGAAATATACTTGATGATTTGGAGAATATTTATTGTTTAAACACGCAAACACGAACACCAATTCCACAAAGACTTCCGCGGGAATGAACATGAACAATTAAACGACAAAAACCGCCAATTTAAGATTTAGCTACTGGAAGCGAATTTTGAAGCAGTGATGCCAGATAATTAGAACCTGGTACTGATTCAAAACAAAAAGATGATTTCGTGTATTTAAATTTTACTTTCCTATTGGCTGAGACAATCAATTTGACGCATGCTCGTATCATTCGGGGTACGCTTAGAATGGGAGGGAAATATATTCCCGTACCGTAATGTAGGAACAGTGCTTCTTATAGGCAGCATAGGATAACCATGGACGGCTAGCCATATACACTATTTGGCTACATACCACACAACTATATGATATAGTTGTATTACATATATGGTGATAACACCACGCACAGCTACTGAGTAGCTGTCGTCTGCCATAATATAACCTCATTTGTACTTGAAAGACGTAAGTAAACAATTCTAAGAATTTTATTACATAAAATTTGAATAAAATAATAAGAATAACATAAGTTTCACTCTTGTTTCAAACAAAAATATTTCATTTTTATATAAATTGTGTTACTTGTCATTTAAATGCAAATATATTAAGTACTATAAAACAATACGAACAATATTTCGTAATTTTAAAAAAATTTTATCGATAGTATTACAGAAATATTGCATTTTTTTCAATAAAGTATGTGTAAATTTAAGATATTTATAAGTTTACCTGTGATAATGGCATGATTTCTAATAAACTGCAAAATTTGGAGTAGAGATTTTGACATTTTATAATATAGAGTCTTCACAAAAAAAAGAACGGTTTTACCAATTCTTCGATATTTTCTGCATAACTCACACAATATATATATATATATAGTGCAGTTTTTTTTTTAAACGCATACGAATATTTATTGTACATTATATTTTGTAAAAATATATGTATTTTACATGACAGATTTAAATCATGTCAAAAGTTGAGGAACCAGCACCAGAAGCTGCAGAGCCAGCTGTTGAACAGGATGTTATATCCGAAGAAGACAAACAATACTTGATGGAGTATGTAAAAGAAACGGAACAACGCCTTGCTACAAAAGAAGAGATTCGAGCATCTAATTTAAACCCTAATCGACCCCCAGACACATATTTTAGCAAACTAGATTCAACCCTAAAAAGGAACACAACATTTGTAAAAAAATTGAAAAATTTTAGTAGCATACAATTAGATACAGTTCTTAAGGATATGACGCATTTAAATTTAACAAAATATGTAAGTGAAGTTGCCACTGCTCTAGTGGATGCCAAATTAAAAATGACAGATGTTGCACCTGCTATTAAAGTATGCAGTTTTCTGCATCAGACATATGCAGAATTCTCAACGCATTTCTTTGAAAATTGGCAAAGAATTTTATCTCTGAAAGTTGTAGATAAGATTGCAAATCCAAGCAAACTTAGAGTAGACCTCCGCTTTTATGCTGAGTTAGTTAATGCAGGAATTTTCACGCATAAGCAAGGGTTACCTTTGCTTGGCTCAGCATTAACAGTTTTAATTAATATGGATAAAGAGGAGCACAATAATGCAATCATTATATTAAGTTTTTGCAAACACTGTGGTGAAGATTATGCAGGTCTTGTACCTAAACGAGTAAGGGAAATATCAGAGAAATTGAATGTACAAATTCCTAAAAGCAAATTACTTTCACCTGATAAACAACAGAATGTTAGATTATTACTACGAGATTATTACAATTCGTTGTGTAAGCACTTATTAAAAGAGCACAAGGATCTCCAAGCTTTTGAAAAACAGAATCGAAAAATATTACAAACCAGGGGTGAATTAAGTTCTGAAAGAAAGGAAAAACTTGAGAGTCTTCAAGTATCGTATGAACGGTTGCTCAATAATGTACAAAGTTTTTCTGATACTTTGGATGAACCCATGCCAGAACTTCCTATTGATAATGAAATGAAAGCAGAAGCGGAAGAGACGTTGAAAATGATTAGCGAAGGAGAAGAAAATAGTATCTTAGAGGATATGTGGGGAGACGACGAAACTAGACGATTCTATGAAGTTTTACCTGACTTGGTAGTATTTCTTCCAGGATCATATTTAAAAGAAGTACCTAAGCAAGACGCCCCGATAAGCGAAGAAGCCTTAGACGAAGAAGTAACGTTTGACGAATTAGAAGAAACGGAAAAAGTAGATGAACCCGAAGCAGAAGTAGATGAACCTCAAGTCTCAAACATAAGTAATAAAATACTTTTGGATGCGTTTCTAACTCATCTACCAACTTGTGTAAATCGGGAAATGATAGACAACGCAGCAGTACATTTTTTAATGACTCTCAACACAAAACATAACAAGAAGAAGTTAGTAAAAGCATTATTTGGTGTGTCTAGAATTCGTTTAGATCTATTACCATTCTATTCACGTTTGGCTGCTATCCTTTATCCTGTTATGCCTGATGTGGGAAATGATCTGTGTCTAATGTTAAAACATGATTTCATATATCATGTACGCAAAAAGGATCAAATTAACATTGAATCAAAAGTAAAAGTTGTCAGATATATTGGAGAACTGGTCAAATTTAAACTTTACTCAAAGATAGAGGCATTATACTGCTTAAAAGTTCTGTTACATGATTTTACTCATCATCATATTGAAATGGCTTGCAATTTATTAGAAACATGTGGAAGATATTTATTTTGTTCGCCGGATTCACACCAAAGAACAAAAGTATATTTAGAACAAATGATGCGTAAAAAAGCAGTCACTGCATTGGATTCGCGTTATGTAACGATAATTGAGAATGCATATTATTTTGTAAATCCACCAGAATCTACAGGTGGTGTTTCTAGAAAGGACAGACCACCGATTCATGAATTTATAAGAAAATTATTGTATCAGGATCTCTCAAAGACAAATACCGATAAAGTTCTTAAATGGATGCGTAAGTTAGACTGGGAAGACGAAAGTGTTTCGTCTTATGCCATTAAATGTCTCACTGCCGCATATAATGTTAAATATTTAAATATTCGTTGCGTAGGAAGTTTATTAGCAGGACTTGTTGCACACTATGAAACTATAGGCCCTCACGTAGTCGATGGTGTGTTGGAAGATATAAGACTATGTATGGAAATTAATTTACCAAAATTTAATCAACGTCGTATCGCTATGGTTAAATATCTTGGAGAATTGTATAACTATCGAATGGTAGAAAGTGGAGATATTTTCCGAACCCTATACCTTTTGATTACTTTTGGAGTTAGTATGGATCATGCTGTACCAAGTATCCTCGATCCACCCGACCACCTGTTTAGAATTCGACTAGTTTGTACATTATTAGAAACCTGTGGACAGTATTTTAGTGGTGGTTCTAGCAAGAAAAAACTTGATTATTTTTTAATATTCTTTCAAAATTATTATTGGTTTAAATACACAGATCCTATTTGGACTCCCGAGAATCCTTTTCCTGTAGGTATAGATTACATGTATCGTGACACGTTAACAATGCTAAGGCCTAAAATGCAATTGTTTCAAAGTTACAAAGAAGCCCAATGTGCTGTGGAGGAATTACGAAATACGTTATACCCAACTCTTGGAAATCCTATTGCTGAGGATGGTGCTACTCGTACAGATGGAGAATCTGATATGGGTGTAATTGCAGAAGGAGATGAAGAACTAACTATCACCACTGGAAATGGCAGTGGGGATGCTAAAGGTGTAGCTGACTTACATTTTGAAGAATCTGAAGATTGTTCCGAGGCACAATCGGAAGAAGAGTGGACAGCTGATGCAGAAAGGGATGATACTATGGGTACTCAAGAAAATACACAGGGAGATCAAAGTCTTTCAGAAGGTGGTACAGATGGTGTTCTAATGGATGTTACAGAATTAAATGCAGCATTACCAGCTGGTCCTAGAAGAGTAAGTTGCCCGGAAGACGATGACTTTTTGTCGGCTCTCGATAAAATGGTTTCGGATAATATACAAGATAGAATGCGAGATTCAGTGAAACCACAACAAGTAGACATTTCAGTTCCTTTGCATGTAAAAAGTACTAAAAAAACGTATGAACAATTGCAAGAGAGACCTACTGATAATAGTACAGTCGACTTCGTGCTTATGCTCAGAAAAGGTAACAAACAACAGTACAAAAACTTGGCAGTTCCTGTCTCGTCAGAGTTGGCAATGAACCTTCGAAATCGTGAACAAGAACAGAAAGAAGAAAAAGAACGAGTTAAAAGATTGACATTGAACATTACAGAAAGACAGGAGGAAGAAGATTATCAAGAAACAATTAATCAAAGTACAAGACCAGTGACAGTAAATTTAAATAGAGAACGGCGACAAAAATATAATCATCCTAAAGGCGCACCGGATGCCGATCTTATTTTTGGTCCAAAAAAGATTCGATAGACTCATTTCATTATTCTTGAAAGAATATTTGTCACATTATAAAATCACAAGTAATTTTACATAAAATTAAACGATCTCTATATTTTCTGTGTAGCAACTTGCAACAGACTATTGTTTCATTTTTAATTTGAAATCCACGTCTGTCTGTTATCGATACAGATTCTCTATCATATGTGATTTTTCTTGTAAAGGATATTGTTTTGTAAGTATATTAAAAATGCATTAGTATATCATAAGTGTCAATATGTATTTCAATATATTTAAATGAAAAAAATCGAATAACAAAGTTACGGTTTTTTTTATACAATCGATACATTTAAATATAACTGTATTGTTGCTTGGTATATGTATAATAAATTACATAACTTTTATGTACGAATAAAAATAATTTCAAATTTTTTAAATTACTGATTTGATCAAATTGCTCTATCATTGATATCAGTTATGTAAATTTTATAAAAAATTTTACAATATTTACATATCGATATACGCCGGAATTTCTTCTATAATTTAATCAAACCTTTGTTAAATATGAAAGAAATATAATATGTTTAAGACTGTATCATAAAATTGTGTTACATGAAAATCATTAATTCGTACGATATTAATCGAGTATTTTTAAAACTCGTACTCATTATACATATTAAACTTTATTTTTATTGAAATCATTATAAGAAATTAATAATTTATTAAGAAAACATTCAATTATATGTACAAACAAGGAGTTGAGTTTGATATGCAATTATTTATTTTTACCTAAGAAATTATTACCGTGTACAAAATGAATATAAATAAATGTTAGGTGTTTTTTATGTTTGATACAGCTCTGTTATACAGTCTGTCATAATATCACATATCTACCATAATATATGATTCTGGTAATTATAAATTAATACTAAATGCATATCTGCATTTTGATGTTGTCATCATACTTTATGGATCTTCCTCTGCATCTTCAAATTGACCTGCTTCTATCTCCATAGCTTCGTCTGCTTCTGTGCCATTGTGATTGGTACCTATTTGTTCTAATGATATAGAATCATAATAAACATTTACATAGACTTACAGTATAATTTTTTAATAGTAGTTTTCTCATTGACAACCTATTTTATGGTGAAGTAATCAACTCCATTGAGCTCTTTCATAGTAATAGCTGGATAATAATAATAGTTGCAAGTTATAAATATTACCTGTTGGCAAAATATAAGGAGCATCTCCAGCACCAACTTCATAATTTTCAAAATCATCTTCTTCTGCATCTTCATAAATATCTTCTTCAGCTGTGAAAACACACATACTTTATACATATAAAGTTCTTACAACACGTCAAATTTTTGCACATTACAATTGTTTTATCTACCATCTGAAAAACTATCTTGTGGATCAGGATGAAGTGCTTGACACTGATTCATTGCTTGAAACATTGCTTCCAAGTTATTTGTATTATCAGGAGCAAATCTCATTTCTGTGATGGGGGTGTCTGCATCTTCGTCTTCATTTTCTGAACCACTTTCAGAGGATGGTGGTAATGGCACATCTGTGCAAACAGTTGCATGAAAAATGTAAATAACTGATGAAAGAGTTAATTAAATTATATTTAATTTTACTCTTTCCTAAAATAAATATATGTATATGTTCAAAGAAAAGCATATATACCTGGAAGGTCTACTTTTGCATCAACCATAATATATAGACATTGTCTTGGATGTACTTGTTCATCTCTTGATATGGCATGTAAAGATATATGAGGATATTCAAGTGAAAATCCTTGTTGTGTATCATAGTTCACCCAAGAAAGCAAGCTACCAATGCGAACGTTACATTAAAACATGTAAGTAGTACTTTGGAACCTAAATTTGTTTCATTTCAGTTTTTACCTCTCTGTAATATACAGAGTTCCTTTTCCCACCTCTCTATCATTAATGTACACAGTGGTATTTTGCTCTTCATGATGTATTCCTTTCTGTGGCGCAAGAAAATTGCTAAGCACTACCATTTTTTACCTGTAACATTTAATACATTAATTTATCATTTATGCATACTATTATCAACATATTAAAACGTTCACGATACGAAACTGATTTCGTTCATTCAGGAAATTTCAATTTAAAAAACAAATGGGAACAAAAATATGTATAAGGTTATGGTGAAATTTGTTCAAACACAATGCTAACTTTATGAAACTATATATAGGAACATAAATCTGTTCTATATAAGTAATTTTTTTAAATAGATATATTACTAATTATATGTACACTTTATTTAAATAATTTATGTAAAAGCATGAAAAGAATGCGAAACATAAGAATACAATTACACGTTTCGAATACAGATCCTACCAATTGAATAATTTTTAAATAAATCTACAGTTTCTACCGCTGTGTTCGTTCAGTTATCTTAATTGTTAGCGTGTAAACTCACCACTTGTTTGTACAAAATAATCGTAAACAACGGCGAACGAAGTTTTTCGTAAAATGAACGTATCTTCAAAAAATGGATAACACGATTTTACTGCAATTCTTATACAACACTTCAATTACGCTTTTATATGACTGTAACAATTAGTATGCCGAAAATGGTACAGTAATTAAAGTCCATTAGTGTACAATAATTATGAAATTCAATATACATATATTTTCATTTTACAATGTTTGTTAACGAAAAATTTTACCGCAGGTTACAATGTTATGTTTCTGTTTTACGTTATTGATGCAGAGAGCAGAGTGTAATATACGAACTCTATGTCTATATTACAGAGTACTCTTACAGAGGCGAAACTCTGATGTTTTTCAGGTCCTAAATCAGTCCTGATTTTGATTGCGCTTGCGTCTTCTAAAAGTCGTATCACACAATAGCACCATAATAGAGAAACGAAACTCTTATCGTGATTTAAACTAAATCCTGATATAGATAGAAGCATATTGATCGAGATCTATTACAGTAAAATGCTATGAATTTATGTGCATAAATAATAATGTCGTTGCTCTTTCTTATACACGTTAAAATTGCAATAATTATAATTATTGTAATAAAAGTTCTGCATTCTACCGTTTTTCAATCTATTCGACGACAGATCCAATCTACGCTTTTATTTAAAATAACACGGCAATAGTCCAATGAAATTCTGTTTCAGTCACGTGATTTTGTTTACTCAAGTTTCATCTTGTTGAACAATGCACATGCATTTGTACGCAACGTGCAATGATCTGAATATGAACGCAATATAAAGTTTCATCGAGGTAACGTCTACAGTAATCCGTATATTTTCAGATTCAGGGTACTCTCGGTAACCCAAGCAGAAGACAAAAAAAAAAGTAAAATTAAACGCGAATTATAGCGCGTTCGTCTCTTCGTTCGTATATCCGTGGCGCGTTTTGGTTCATATGCGGTTCAACAAACACTCAATGTGGCGCTTAAGTTTGGAAGGTTATGGATTAAAGCTTCGGGGTGTGGCATCATATTGTGATTTATCAAATAAATAGAATATCCCGCGTTTGTGATGACGGGCGAGCTTCTTTCCTAAACGTAACAACTGCGAAGAATCTCGTTTCAACGGTACGTGTGGTGACTTTAAACTTTCAACCACCTTCCGAGAATCTTTGTACAAGGGAGAGAACATTTTTCAAATGTATTCGCAACAATACTACGTTTTTGGCACTTCAGTCCAGGACTTGTGTAGTGTTTAAAAGAAAGGACTGGGATCACAAAATGTTTTCGATGTTGTACGCTTAATTTGCATATTGATAGGTATTTACGCGAAACGTTGACACAAGGTAGTTGATCGTTGCTTGGTAGGATACGGTCCATGAAATCACGTGTATTAAAGTCTACGTGGGATGTTGGGCGCTATCACCCCCACGCAGCCCCACGAGTACACCGAAATGTTCCGGTTAGCCGACTACTTTGTTGTGGTCGGCTACGACCACGAAAAAGAGAGTATGTATCAAAAACTCCTTCAACAGTTATGTTTCAAACACACACCAATCATCTTAATGTACATGATTAATGAACACTTAACTTGTGACAGCAATTAAACATTATAATATTGATGTGTATACTAAAGCTGGTTTATAATAATCAATTATCTACTCTATTTTTTAGACAGAATGACAAGAACATTTATGTTATTGAAGAGGATCAAAATCTATTATATTTGAAACCCTTGTATAAATTAATTTAAACTGCACCTGTTTAGCTATTTTTATGATTATTGATATATTAGTAATTGATATTGATATTCTATTGCCTATAATGTCCTACTGTTAAATAGTTTTTAATTCAACAGTAACGAAGTATTAAGAAATTAAAATATTGTAAAACCTTGATTTAACAGACTAATTAGGTATAGAATGATACACAAAACCAAGAACTACAAATGTACCTATATGGGATATTATATCAGGGTTGTTAAATTAAGGTTTTCATGTACTTGTATTATATAGAAATATTTTTATTGCAGGAGGTGGTATAAGTAATGGAATCATTTTACAAAGGTTTCCAGAAAAGGATTGGCCTGATACACCATTTATCGAAGGAATAGAATGGGTAAGATTCCTTTTTGTTGTTTATAGGCTTTATATATAATTTGGTGATATTTTATAGTTTTGTCAACCACAAGGATGGGCTTTATCTACAGAAAGACAAGAACCACGGTTTTTTGTATCTATATTAACTGACATTGATGCAAATCGTCATTACTGTGCTTGTATGTGTTTTAACGAAACTGTTTCAATTATGCCAAGTAAACCTGTAGATGAAGAAGAAGATCCAGTAGATGGTGATAGTCGTTCTTTGGTTAGAACAATACCTGCAATTGCACATCACAGCATTATGTATGCACCTAAATGTCTGGTGCTGGTCTCCAGACTTGACTACATCGAAACTTTTAGAGTATGTAAAATGTTGTCTATATTAAAAATATTGTCACTATTTCTATGTATAATGGTATTATTTTTACATTATTATTTCAGAATTGCCTCGGTATTATATATACTGTGTATGTAGAAAATTTTGGTATACCATTAGAAACTCTGGTAGGAAACATATTAGGTTGTATACAAGTACCACCTGCTGGTGGACCACAAGTACGATTTAGCATTGGTGCAGGCGATCGTCAAGCGCTTCAACCTCCAATTAGTCCCTCTCTTCCAATAACTCATAGTAGTGTTAATCTTTTATTTCAACAACTAGGTAAAAATGAAACAACTATCATTACAGATATATTTCCTTAGTAAGTTTCTGATTAACAATGCATCTTCATATTTTACAGGTATTCGTAATGTGTTAGTATTATTCTGTGCTGTTATGACAGAACATAAAATACTTTTTCATTCTGCAAGTTATTCACGATTGACTGAAGGATGTCGTGCTCTTACCGCGTTAATGTATCCATTTAGATACACGCATGTTTACATTCCTCTTCTACCAGCAGCTTTAGTGGAAGTACTCAGTACACCTACTCCATTCATTATGGGTGTGCACAGTTCACTAAAGCATGAAGTTGCAGAACTTGTAAGATATATTTGATGCCATCCTAATATTATCCCTTGCCATTGTATGATTATCTTTTAGAAATCGTTACATTTTTTCTAGATGGATGTAATAGTGGCTGATTTAGATGGAGGTTCTATCATGGTTCCAGATGGAGTTTCGCTTCCATTACTTCCAGAACCACTTCTTTCACAGACACAGGATGCATTGTCTTTAGTATTACAGCCAGAATTATCCTGTGCAGATTATGCTTTTCCACCACTTGCAACAAGAGCTCCTCATTCTCCTATGCTAGATAAGGAATTAAGAGCAGTTTTTATGAGAACTTTTGCTCAGTTATTGCAAGGCTACAGAAGTTGTCTGACACTGATAAGAATTCATCCAAAACCTGTTATAACATTTCATAAGGTTCGTAATCGCTATCCAATGTATTCATTTAATAATATATTTAGACAAGAAGTAAGAACTCGATTTGTTATTTCTAGGCAGCTTTCTTAGGGGAACGAGGCTTAACTGATTGTGACTTTACGACTAGAGTTTTGGATTGTATGTTTTTTACTTCCTTCATCGTGGAAAGGGGACCACCGTGGAGGCCGTGCGATGTATGGGACGAATTGTATAGCAATTTAAGCGACCAACTGAAACAAGAAGCACAAGACCACAGTAAGTAATAATAGTACAATGATATACAATCAATAACATTGATGTGTGTATAAAATATATATTTTATTGTGCATAATAGGCCTCAACTAAGTATATAACAGATTTTTTAAATGTGTGTTATCGTTAGGACGTATCTTAACGCATATTCAAGAATTAGCACAACAATTGTACACAAATGAGAATCCAAATCCTCAACCATACGTACAAAAAATTTTGAAACCACCCGAAGGAGCGTTTGCTAGAATACATCAGCCACTTCTGCCACGTATTAATCCAGAGCAAGTTCAAGCAATTATAGATGAAGGTCTTGCCAAAAATAGTGTCAAAGTTAGGTTCGTATTATGAACGCATTTGATCTACTGTTATACTATGATGCACATACTATTACTACATGATATTTCACATTAATTTCGATTTACATTGTACAGATTATCATCATTAAGACCGTCACAGCCTCGTATTGTACCTATGGGTCCACATATTTCATTTGTCCATGACACTAGGCAATTGGTTAGCAATTCTGCGCGTAGGCTCGAGGTTCTACGTAACTGTATAAATTGTATATTTGAAAATAAAATATCGGATGCTCGTAAAACCTTTCCAGCCGTACTAAGAGCATTGAAGAGCAAAGCTGCTCGTTTAGCACTGTGCATGGAACTATCACAGCATGTTGTTGGAAATAAAGCCATGTTAGAACATCAACAATTCGATCTTGTAGTTCGATTAATGAACTGTGCATTGCAAGATGATTCGTCCATGGATGAACATGGAGTTGCTGCAGCACTTCTTCCTCTTGCAACAGCATTTTGCAGAAAACTTTGCACAGGAGTTATTCAGTTCGCTTATACTTGTATCCAAGAACACCCCGTATGGCAGAATCAACAGTTTTGGGAAGATGCTTTTTATTTGGATGTACAAAAAGACATTAAAAGATTATATCTCCCCGGAGAAAATTCTCCGCCTCGGCTTATAAACGATGGAATTTTAAGTCCTATCAGCCCACGCGATGGTAAAGAATTTCTATTTCGCGACCGATACTCCATATATCAAATTCAAGAACCATCGGCTCTTGAAATAGCCGCCGAACAAATGAGGATTTGGCCAACGATTGATTCAGAAAAACAAAAGGAACTTATCGCAAGTGAAGAAAGTACTATGTACAGTCAAGCAATTCACTATGCAAATAGAATGGTTTATTTATTGGTTCCATTAGATATAGGAGCGAAAACGCATCGGCAGGACAACGTTTATGATGATGAAAGAGCAAGTAATAGTATTACAAATAGCGTAGCAAGCGATAGTGGTGATGCAGAGTCAGGATTTGAAGAAAACGATCCCGGGGAAACCGGCAGCGCCGTTATTCGAATGGTTTCACGATTCGTAGATCGTGTTTGTACCGAAGGAGGTGTGAGTACCGAACACGTTAGATGTCTACACCAAATGGTTCCAGGTGTTGTTCACATGCATATTGAAACTCTTGAGGCTGTACATAGAGAAAGCAAGAGATTACCTCCAATACAGAAGCCTAAGATTTTGACACCTAATATGTTACCTGGTGAAGAAGTTATTATGGATGGTTTACGGGTTTATCTTCTACCAGATGGAAGAGAAGAAAGTCCTGGAGGATTGCCAAAGATACCACCACTCTTGCCAGCAGAAGGAGCTATATTCCTTACTAATTACAGAATCGTATTTAAAGGAATACCTTGCGATCCATTTGCTTGTGAACAATTAGTAGTTCGAGCCTTCCCTGTAACATCTTTAACTAAAGAGAAACGAGTTGCTGTACAACATTTAGCACATTTGGATCAGTGTTTACAAGAAGGCCTTCAATTACGTTCTTGTACCTTTCAATTAATAAAATTAGCATTTGACGAAGAAGTTACTCCCGAAAATATTGAAACTTTACGAAAACTAGTTCACAAAGCTCGATATCCACCACATATCTTCCATCATTTTGCTTTTAACGGTCAAGTATTAGTCACACAACCAGCTCACCACAAAGGAAAGGAAAAAAATGCTACTCTTAAGTAAGTCGACTTTTACTTAGACATAATTCTGTTTATTAGTTACTGCAATCAAACTATTATCTTTTTTTTTTTTTCAGGGGATTTGCTAAGAAAACGCTATTAAAAACTGCTCGTAAGGCCGGTTTTAAACCAAAACAGTCGTCTAAAAGACAGAAATATGTCTTGCCAAATATGAATATTATTACTAACAATAAGTACATGACATCACCTGGCCGAATGAGTTTGCCAGTAACAGATAATAATGATTTAAGTCACGATGATGATCTTAGTGGTAAGTTAAAAATGCTGATTATATTAATAAATTACGTTTACTCGTAATATATAATTTTTACAGTAGATGATTTTGAAATTCCTGGCATTGTAACCCAACCACCAACCGATGCAAAAACTTTAGAACGATTATCCGAACGTAGTTATGTTAGAGACTGGTATCGTTTGGGATTATATTCAAATGGTCCACACAGTAATCGTAGGAATGAACCGTTTCGACTGTCTTCGGTGAATTGTGCCTATATGACTTGCAAAAGCTACCCTGCACTTCTTATAGTTCCCTCATCGGTGTCGGATGAAAGTATTCGACGATTTTGTCGACTTTATAGACATAACAGATTACCCGTAGTTACTTGGAGACATCTAAGAACAAAGGCACTTCTCATTAGAGGAGCAGGTTATCATGGGAAAGGTGTGATGGGAATGTTAAAAGCTCACCCGACGTCTGCTGGTAATTTAAAAGGTATTGATTACGATTTTGTTTTATAATTTTGTAATTTTTTTATATAATGCTTAACTACGATTTTACTATTATTACCAACAGCAACATCATCAGAAACAACGTCATCCCTAGAACAAGAAAAATATATTATGGCTCTAGTGTCTGCGACACCATTATCCGCATTGAGGCAAGGTTCTGCATGGGGAATGTCTGACAGTTCTCTCAGTATTGATTCTCTATTACTAGCTGCTGAAGATCGTAATGCTACGCCTGAGCAATCGCGACGAAATCCATTTAACAAAGCGATTGGAACATTGAGGTACAGTAAGTCCTCGACTTATGCGGTTAATTCGTTCTGGAGCTTTCCGTGTAAGTCGAATTGCATGTGTACGATATATTGTCAGGAAGAAAAAAGATCAGTTCCAAAGTAACGTTGTTGTATATTCCTTTTATCGTTATTTTTAATTGTCCTGTCATATATTTATTTTCGAAACCTATATGTAATTTGGATTACAGAGCTTTAGATCTTCTTATGAGTAACTAAAATGTCTAACCCAGAATAATAGCAATTCTTGCTAAGAGTGATCTTTCTTTCTTGCTACAATACATTTAGTATACAATTTTTAAAACACATTAATTTACAATACAATCTTACAAAAATTAAAGATAAACAGATGCATATATATTCCTCTATGAAGAGAAAAAATTGAAGAAAACATACATACATACAAAATATGTATGTACAAGGATATAAGTGCGAGTACAATCGCATATCTACGAATCCGCGTAACTCGAGGACTCACTGTATATATTTGTTTACTGTAGTTTTATATTTAAGGGGGTATAGGACTTTTAAAAATAAGATTTCAATGATTCCAATGATTCTCGTGAACAGAAAAAAAACGAATATAAATTATGAGAAAATTCTTGGATTTATTGACTCCGATAATTTCTACTCCGATACCCCCCTAAGATGTTATAGAATAGATGGGAAACACAAATTAAACAATGTATTGTGCATTTCCTATAGTTCATCAGGTGGCAAGGGCCCTAAAAATTTTGGACGCTGGGGTTCATTGAAAGATAAAAGGCAAAATTCTCAAGCCTCCTTAACTTCAGTTCACCAACGTGGAACCGTGAGACATTCTGCAGACTCGGATAGTGGTACAGAATGCGTTCATACTTTCCAACGTGCTGCATTATACATTCTTGGTGAAAAAGCGCACATGAAAGTAAGTATTTATTTGGAAATTATTTAACGCGTGCATGATATGATTTAATTATAATTTACCTTTCATACACCTAAGGGAGTTAAAGCGGAATCAGCTCCAAAAACAGACTTCATTCCAGTGGAATATTTCGACGTAAGGCATACTAAAGCTGCATTTAAAAAACTTATGCGAGCCTGTGTTCCTAGCTCTCCAAACATAGAACCAGATCAAAGTTTCTACAAGTATATATAACTTATTCGAAGACCATGTAATTGTAGTAAATATGAGATTTTTTAACAAGTTACATTCGTAATTTCAGGTTAATCGAAAGTTCAGAATGGTTACAACAACTTCAAAATTTAATGCAATTAGCCGGAGCCGTTATAGACTTAATGGATGTACAGGGCTCATCGGTAGCTGTTTGTTTAGAGGAAGGGTGGGACACTACTGCAACAGTTTGTTCTGTTGCTCAAGTATGTCTTGATCCACATTATAGAACTATCGATGGCTTCCGAACCTTGATTGAGAAAGAATGGCTTGGCTTTGGTCATAGATTCGGACATAGAAGCAATCTCGCCGCAAATTCTCAAACTACAAACTTCACTCCCACGTTCCTGCAATTTCTCGATATAGTACATCAAATTCAGAATCAATTCCCCTTAGCGTTTGAATTTAATGAATATTACTTAAAATTCTTGGCATATCATTCGGTTTCTTGTCGGTTTCGTACATTTTTGTTAGACTGTGAATTCGATAGAATGGAATGTGGCATTACTGCTGTTGAAGACAAAAGAGGATCGTTAACAAGTCATCACAAAGGTGTAGACACAGGTAGCGACGATGAAACGATTTATCCTGGAGGTAGATTAGCAGGGACAAATATAGGATGTAATCTTGGTCAAAGTATATTTGATTATATTGAAAAACAACATGCAAGATGTCCCTTGTTTTATAATTTCATGTATACTCCTAATACGGAGTATACGGTGTTAAGACCTGTTTCGCACTTGCCAAGTCTTGATATCTGGCAGTATTATTTAGAAGAGGAACTGGCTCATGGGCCTGCATATGATTTAGAAGTATTGCAACAAGATTCACAACAAGAAGAAGAAGCAGAAGCCGCTGATGGCGTGGTTAAAAGCAATCGTAAAGTGGTTACCCAAGGGTAAGATCGAATTTCTTTATATTACCGTATCATCTTATTAATATTATCATTATTTTAGATATGATGGTGTAAGCACAATGGTACCCGATCAATTTTCTCATCTTTTAGAGGAAATCCATAAACTAGAAACTGAATTAGGCCATTTACCACAAAAATGGAAAGTTCTTTGGGACAAACTTGAACTGCCAAATACAGACTCACTTGCTGTTAGTAATGAATTAAATGGTCAAAGCACTTATATTTATATTTAAAGTATAATATTTCTTACTTCTTTATGTACAGAGACACGCATCATTTAGCACTGCATTGGTCAGATACCATGGTCGATTAATTCATAAACGTTCTACATTAGAATTACTTCTGAGAGGTAAACTCGCTGGTGGAAATACATCTGGAAATGATGGATCCGTTTACGCACATCCTCATAGGTAATTCGCATAGTATAGAGTCAAATCTTTCGTTGACGCAGAAATTAGATCCATGTTGCGTATTCAGAAAGTAAATTGTTGTAGATTTGAGAGATTAGATTCAGCCACGCCAACTCATTGCGATGCTTGTTCTGGTGTATTATGGGGTCCTGTAAAAGCGGGTTTGCGATGTGTTGATTGTGGCCATGTGTGTCACGACAAGTGCGCTGATGCAGTGCCAAAAAATTGCACAAAATATAAAACAGTGTCCGACAATTTACAAACACACACACTCACGCGAAGCGGTGGTGATAATGGGAGCGTGAACTCAAGTACAATTGTTACATTATTTTATCGTTTATTATGAATCTTCCTGAATTACAATTATTTATATAATATTTATAGGTGTTACTACGATACAAACTTCTTCACAATATTACGAACAATTCTCTAGTAATGTGGCGGAAAATAGAACACACGAAGGTTACCTTTATAAACGAGGTGCTTTGCTGAAAGGTTGGAAACAAAGATGGTTCGTGTTAGATTCTATAAAACACCAGTTGAGGTATTATGATGCAATGGAGGATTCTCATTGTAAGGGTTATATAGGTACGTAAAATATGTAAAAAATATATAAGTTATATTGTTCATCCGCTACAGTTATAAACACATAAAATTCATTTAATTTGGCAGATCTAGCAGAAGTAGTGTCTGTAACTCCAGCTGCGCCAATGCCAGGACCACCAAAGAAAACAGACGATAAATCATTCTTTGATGTAACTATACAATCATTTTTATATTTTATTTTTCGAACGACGCAAGTCGTATTACATGAACATTTATATTTGTAGCTTCGTACAAACAGGCGAACATATAATTTTTGTGCCGGCGATGCAGCAACTGCGCAAGAATGGATCGAAAAGGTTCAAGCGTGCTTACAATAGCTTGATTATACCTCTAATTTAAAATGTGCAAGTGACTGATAGATTAAAACAGATTTTAATTTTGTTACATACTATTGTATAGTCTAATAGTACATATTATAGACTTCAATAATTTTGCTTTAAATACTTTAAAGCCAACGGTTGTTGGACTGAGAACAGTATCATAAATTGAATGTGATGTACTCATATCCTTGACATAACATTATTATATAAATGTATATTGTAATTATATGATTACGTTATATTTGAATTATTTCAGCTGGAAGATGAAAGATTGCTACATACTCGACTAAACGTTACAATTTTTTATTTTGTTTATTATGTTTTTAGTACGTATACAAATCGAGCGTAAAATGTGTTAAAATGTTGAATGGACTCTCTATTCTACGAGTTATCGTCATATTATCATCTTAGTATAATTGCAGTTGTAATAGAATAAGTCGCGGTCTCGCTTGTTGCAAACTAAAAGCGTAAAGGAAAACTAAATGTTTAAAATGTTTGTTTTCTTATTGAATTCTCATGTAATATTTGTTCGGTAATTCTGCTGCGCTTGTCAGTAAAACTGAAATTAAACGAAACATTGTATATTGTTAATTATTAGTCAACAAATTTTATAGTTTTAGCATTTTATGTTTTGTCGCAGAGTACGTCATAGAGTTCTTATGGTTATACTTGTTATGAACGTATATCGCGTTTTGAAACAAAATTTTTAAACTTTTGTATGATTTATGTATGCGTAACAATCACTTTGGACAAATAATGTCGTTACCATAATTTATTTGATACTCTGTTAATGTTAAGAAAATTAAGTAATACTCAAAAATAAAGTATGAATTTTTTTACTAATGAACTAACACATTCAGAAGGTGTGTCATGACTTCGGTGTGTCACTGAAACGTTCTTAGTCACCGATGGGTCATCGTTGTATGCTTTTATCTGCATGGTAAGCAAAATGTTTAGAATGACAACGCAAAGAGATACAATGTAACAAGATTTTTTTTTATCAATTTTATTGTCTTAAATAAAAGTATGATGCGCTGTTTTACAGTATCCGGATGGTTCTTTTAATCATTATTTCAAGAAAATATTAATAGAAAAAATACCCTGTTTAATAATTTAGTACCGATTGGTTAATATAAATTTAAGTTTATTCTAACAATATTGATATATAGATAATTATGAAGTTTCAAATACTGTCTCACGCGCCACCTAATGACGAAACATGTGAAACAATCATCCAGTTTCCAAACTATATAATTTATTATTTAGGTTCTAGATATAAATTTTACCCTAAACATATAGGAACGAAGTATTTTATTTGATTGTATCGTATACGTATACGTTTATTCAATTAGTTTATTAATTATCAATAGTACGATAACATCCTTGAACATCTATATTAATCTACGGTTAATAATTTTCGTAGAAGGCAACCAATCATATCTAGGCATAATTGTTGGCCCCTCTCAAACTTCACTCTCCTCATCGATAACCTGAGCTTTCCCATCGTTCCTACATTCCTAGGTCTATGCCAGTCTATGCAGAAAACATAACGCGTTAGCAGAAGTCATCCGAAGTGAGACTTATCTTATGGATCCATTGCGAGTATTTAGTTCATGGTTGGAAGGGCGTTTTGCATAAGGAGCTGTCAATGTACTGTCAACCAACGATCTTTTTACATTTGTTGACTGTTTAAAACAGTTGAGGTACTTCGGAATTAAGTATTTCTAAATAACAAATTTTAAAGATCATTCGAATTGTTTCGCAATGTCGTGAGAGGAATCTGTAATGAATTTTCGTAGAGTTACATTATTTACTATATATCGTTATTATATCGAATTTCAAGGATCCTTAATGTTTTCTGATTTGTACAATCATAAAAAGTACTTTTATTTGCTATTCAAATGAATAAAATTTCTTAACATTTCGCATTTCGGTTCAAGTTAGTAGAACGGCGCTATATACACTGAACATTGATCCAATCGTGGTTTGCTATATTGAAACCTTATTTAATTTTGCCACACTACTGCACCTACAATGATGTATAGTTGTTTCTTTTTCAGAGTATACACCTGATACGTGCATATAATTTTTCGAAGAATTTCCAAAATTTAAGATGACAGACTCAAAGTATTTTACTACTACCAAGAAAGGAGAAATATTTGAACTTAAATCAGAGTTGAATAATGACAAGAAGGAGAAAAAGAAAGAAGCTGTGAAGAAGGTGAGTTGATTTATTAAAGAAATAATTTTTTATTTTTATAGAATATAAATTTAAATATTAATCATGTAATAATTTAATATTGATTTCATTCATTTCACCAATGTACTTACATTTCATGAATAGTAAATAAGTAATTTCATGCAGCTAAAATGTGATTTTGAAAGGTAATGTGTTTTTTTTTGTAAGATAAGTTTATTAAAATAATGGTATAAATTCTTCTTTCACATTGTGTGTTGTATTTTATTTGCTTCGTGAAATTTGTATTTTAATTTGCAACATCATTTCTAAATGTAAGAATTTTTACTTTTATAAACATGAAATCAACAAATTTGTTACATGCTGCACTAAAAAAAGGATGGCTGGAGACATACAATAAATTTTCTTCAAATTGAGAGATCTTAATGATATTACTGTTTATTTATTATATATTTTTCAATTGTTTTTCAAAAATTTGATTTCATTTTTAATTTAGTGTTATAAACATTGAATTAAAATCAGCATAAATCATGTGTTTATATTTCAGATTTAATGTAATAACAACATTATTATCTATGTGATTTTTCATAGTTGCTTTTTTATATAGTTGTTATTTTCACTTTGCAATGATATCCTATTAATTATTAGTTACTTAAATGTAATCTACTATGTTTAGGTGATTGCTTCCATGACTGTGGGTAAAGATGTATCAGCACTATTCCCAGATGTGGTGAACTGTATGCAAACAGACAATTTGGAGCTGAAAAAGCTGGTGTATTTGTACCTGATGAATTATGCCAAAAGTCAACCAGACATGGCTATCATGGCTGTCAACACATTTGTCAAGGTAATGTAGCTTAGAAATTCAACAAATATTTATCATGTTTTATTAATGCACTTTTACCCTTTATATATTTTAATGACACTTGGATGATGTTAAGAGTCTCTGTCTGCAAAGAGGCAAGCTGGAAAAAGTTTTATGTGAAAGTTTCCTTAAGTTATATGTATTTTTTTCAAATAAATTTAATATTAATTTTACAGCCTGCCTCGCATCATGTACAGACTGTGCTTTGCAAATTACATCAGTTTGCACAGAGCTGTCTGCGTTATGGGACGGAATGTACCTTTTGTTCTCTCTTAATGAATTGCTTATTTTTCAAAGGGCACGAGACTGGAATTTGGCTAAATAAGATACAACTTATATTATCTTAAATTTTCAATTCTACAATTACATTAATAATTTCCATTGATCTGTCATGATTATACTGGTTTGTTACCACCAAATTCCAGTATCTCTTTTCAATTCAGTTTAGCATCAAAAACAGGAATGGAATTATGACAATTGTAACATTTAGTGAAATAATTAAATAAGTCGTCGGAAAAACCAAAAAAATATGTGTTAGTTCTTTATATTAATGCACTAATATAATTTGTGCCATTTCTCAAAATGGAGCATGGAACTTTTTCAAGTCACAGCAATATTATGTACAATTAAACAGCTTGTAGAAACTTGTACAATAATAACACAGCTATACTTGTAATAAAGATGTAATTGGTCATTAAGAAATTGTATTAAAACACCCTCTGTGGTAGAAACAAAATTTGTTCCTTAGCCACAATGTCTAATGTGTAAACAGCATGAATAAAACAGTTCCTTAAATGTTCATTTTATATGTATGACTGCATTATAATGCTGCTTGTATGCAGTGCATATTTACACTATCTGCACGCAAAGTGTTTTATTCTTTTCAAAACTTTAGTGTTAATTAATAAGTGTAATCAGTGTTCAGACTAATATTTCATAATGCAATTATTATAAACACGTAGATGTATATTTTGTTAATGTTTGAAGAGATATCATGTAACATATTCCAATGTGCATGATACCAAATTTAATGTGGAACTTATAATTTAATTTTAATTTGTAAATTATTAATAAAACCAAAGAATTATGAATGAAGATATTAAGAAAGATATCTCGTGCTCTTTAAAAAATGATCAGTTCTGCATCACATAACATTAAATGGTTGATAAGTATAATATTTAATAATTAATCAAAATGGTGACGGTGACCAATTTGACCTTTTTCGTTCTGACACGCAAAAGGAGCTAGCGACATCTCCGATGACAAAGGTACCATACCATTTTCTACTTCGTTAAAATTCATGGGTTGAGATAGATAGCCACTGCTGTGACTAGACTTGAATCCCTGGCTTGCCCGATTTTTGCGCAGGATTGCGAGGACCCAAATCCGCTGATTCGAGCATTAGCAGTTCGTACAATGGGTTGTATACGCGTGGACAAGATTACTGAATACCTCTGCGAGCCATTGCGGAAATGCCTGAAGGATGAGGATCCATATGTTCGTAAAACTGCAGCCGTATGCGTGGCCAAGCTTTATGATATAAATGCAGCTTTAGTCGAGGATCAAGGATTTTTGGATCAATTGAAAGACCTTTTGTCAGACAGTAATCCCATGGTAAATGTTACAGATTTACTTGTTGTGTGAAAATGTTTTTAAAAAATTGTAGATAATACATTCTTACTTTTTCAATAGTAAACAAAATGCATTGGTTTATACAGAATTTTCTGACAAAGCCATTTAAAGGTTTTTTTAGCCATAAAATACCAACTTATATTTTCAATAAATTTTCTTATTTAGGTTGTTGCAAATGCAGTAGCTGCCTTATCAGAAATCAATGAAGCAAGTCCAAGTGGGCAGCCATTAGTTGAAATGAATGCACAGACCATTAACAAATTATTAACAGCCCTTAATGAATGTACAGAGTGGGGTCAAGTTTTCATTTTGGATTCACTTGCAAATTATTCTCCTAAAGACGATCGCGAAGCACAAAGCATATGCGAACGAATTACTCCACGTTTAGCTCATGCCAATGCTGCAGTTGTTTTGTCTGCTGTTAAGGTAGTACATTAAATAAAAGTCAATGTTTGTAATTGGAAAGTTTAAGTACATATTTTTATTTGTTAAATTTGCTTCTTTAATTTGTAGGTATTAATGAAATTAATGGAAATGTTACAATCCGAATCTGACTTTGTCGGAACTTTAACAAAAAAATTAGCTCCGCCTCTTGTAACTCTTCTTAGTTCCGAACCTGAAGTTCAATATGTAGCATTAAGAAATATAAATCTCATTGTACAGAAACGCCCAGATATTTTAAAGCATGAAATGAAAGTTTTCTTTGTCAAATATAACGATCCGATTTATGTTAAACTTGAAAAGTTAGACATTATGATTCGTCTAGCATCTCAAGCTAATATAGCTCAGGTTTTATCTGAATTGAAAGAATATGCTACAGAAGTTGATGTAGACTTTGTACGAAAAGCTGTCAGAGCTATTGGTCGTTGTGCCATTAAAGTTGAACCTTCCGCTGAACGGTGTGTTTCGACGCTTTTAGATCTAATACAAACGAAGGTCAATTATGTTGTTCAAGAGGCAATTGTAGTTATAAAAGACATTTTCCGAAAGTATCCAAACAAGTATGAAAGTATTATTTCGACCCTTTGCGAAAATTTGGATACGCTTGATGAGCCTGAAGCACGTGCTTCTATGATATGGATCATTGGAGAATATGCGGAACGTATTGATAATGCAGACGAACTCCTTGAAAGTTTCTTAGAGGGATTCCACGATGAAAATACACAAGTACAATTGCAATTACTTACAGCGATTGTTAAACTATTTCTTAAAAGACCTACGGATACTCAAGAATTGGTTCAGCAAGTTCTTAGTTTAGCAACACAAGATTCTGATAATCCTGATCTACGAGATCGAGGATTCATTTACTGGCGGTTACTTAGCACCGACCCAGCAGCTGCCAAAGAAGTTGTACTTGCGGAGAAACCTCTTATTTCGGAAGAGACTGATTTGTTAGAGCCAACGTTATTGGATGAATTAATATGTCACATTTCCAGTTTGGCATCTGTTTATCATAAACCACCCACTGCCTTCGTTGAAGGTAGATCAGCAGGTGCTAGAAAATCGTTGCCTGCTAGAAGTAATTCAAACGAAGATTCAGCACAACACGCAACGACACAACTCCATGCTCAAGTCATTCCTGCTCAAGATTCTTTAATAGGGGATCTTCTTAGTATGGATATTGGTCGGTATTTTTTTATTGTTATTTGAATGGTCTTGGTAATTTTGTAAATTATATGTTGAATTAACTTTTATAGGTGGTCCGAGTATGGTTGCTCCAACTCCAGCTCCTCAAGCAGGACTTGGTTTAGATTTGTTAGGTGGTGGTTTGGATGGAATTTTGGGTGGTACTGATACAGGAACTGCTGCGCCTGTGGTGTCTCAAAGTACTACAGGGCTTCTTGGTGACATATTTGGTTTTAATCAAGGACCTTCTTCTTATATACCACCTAAAGTTAATTGGCTACCTGCCGAAAAGGGTAAAGGAATTGACATATGGGGAACTTTCTCGCGAAAGTAAGTGGTATAACCTAAATGCCTCGCATATATGTTGAAGAAATGTAAATTTGAATATAATTAAAATTAACTGTTTAATGTAATTTTCTAATAGGAATGGACAGATTAGTATGGATATGACATTTACAAATAAAGCAATGCAACCTATGGGAGGTTTTGCAATACAATTAAATAAAAATAGTTTTGGCTTAACACCAGCGGCACCATTACAAGTACCAAGTCCTTTGAATCCTGGTGCTAGCGTAGATACCAGTGTAATCTTATCTACCACTGGCGCAGTACAGCGCATGGAACCCTTGAATAATCTTCAAGTTGCAATAAAAAATAATATCGATGTATTTTATTTTGCTTGTATTGTTCCCATGAATACGTATTTTCTAGAGGATGGACAATTAGAAAAAAGAGTATTTCTTAGTACGTGGAAAGACATACCTGCCCAAAACGAGGTATTTGTTAGTTCTCCTTTTTATACCATTATGTTCAATATCAACCAACAGATGGTGTCGATAAATTCATGTTAATGCCGTAGGTACAATACACATTAAAAGGAGTAATGTTAACTGCAGACCAAGTTGTTCAGAAAATGCAACAAAATAATGTATTTACAATTGCCAAAAGAAATGTGGAAGGACAAGATATGTTATATCAATCTCTTAAATTAACAAATCATGTTTGGGTGTTAAATGAATTGAAATTTCAGCCAGGAAATCCAGATGTCACTGTAAGTTCAAATTTAGATGAATTTGATTATAAATAATAAAGTATCTAATATATTTAATTACCAATACATTTTAATTACAGCTATCTCTAAAGTCTCGTTCTGTGGAAGTTGCTGCAGGCATATTTCAAGCGTACAATGCAATTCTGCATTCTTAAATAGTGTATCAAGTCATTTAACATTGAATTTATGCAAATACTATATTTCACGACCATAATCGAACTATTTGTTTAATGCGGATCACTTATATATTATGCGTATAATTTATCCAATTGAAATTGATTGAAAACGTTTGTTTATATCCTATTGTAAATTTAAACAGATTTAATACACTGTTAAATTTATCATAAAGTAACTGAATGTAATTCAAAATAAAGACAAAGTATGTTAATGATCTGTTTGCACATTACATGCTTATACAATGGACAATTGTCCACCCTAACTATTAAGCATTACTTTTTTTTTTATCCATAATTTACCTATAATTAGTTGCAATAATTTTTTTAGTTTTTTAATTTAATTTAGTTTCAATTTATGTAAGTTTTGAAGAGCTACAATAAATTTATACATATTACAATATATTGTGCAATACAAGTAAAATCAGGATATAATAAACAGAAAAGTTAAATATATAGTAATTATGTTTATTTCTTGCATATAAAGAGAAATGTGTACATTATGTTGTGTTAACAATTGTTGCATTAGCATTGGACCTTCCTCCTAAAAGAGCAACCTTCTGTCAATCGTGCTTTACCACCTGTGGATGTACAAAGTATCGTACGGCAACCATCGCATTCAACAGATCTTTGTGCGTGTGAAAAGATTGTTTTGATGGCATAACATCCAGGGCACTTGACATCCATGAAATAACTGTTTGGTTTCTGTACAAGTCTCTTCAACTTGTGTTTCCTTTTTTCTTCAGCTGGACTTGGATGCAGAAAATCTTTAGCAAGAGGCATTCTGTAAAGAAAAACTTTATATATATACATACATATACAATACATTCAGTCATGTTCAGACTTAAAGATTGTACAACATGGTGAAATTACAAACACTTTTCAATTAATTCAAGACTGGCACAGTTGTATGTAAAACTCACTCTTACTATATTAACTTTAATAAAAGAAGATATAATAGTCAATATAGTAGATAATGTATTATGCAAAACTAATCAGAGAGAGTTTCATGCAATTAACAGATGACAAATGACACTGGAAATACAATACTGTATAGTGTTCTAGACAATTCTGCATCATACTACACAAAATATGCAAGTTAAATTGACTGTATAATCTGTAATATTTATAGTATATGTACATAAAGCAAACAAAAATTGAAATAATTAATAAATAAAGTGAAAATGGTCTAACGCATAACACTAATGCATGGCTTGGAGCCGTATGAATATCTACAAATATATCGAACATTAATACAAGTAAGTAATTTTTCCCATCGTATAGATAAAGTTTGCACTTTAATGATTAATATTATATGTGTACTTACGTGATTACGCTTGTATTTTTCCTTGAATTTAATAATCACACTTATAACCACGTGCTCGTGTAACAACGTTAAGAACTGAAAGGACAGATTTCGATGGATTTTGTAACAACAAAGTCCCTACTTGTAATTCATTGTCGCCAACTAATTAAATGTATATTACTCGCATTTATACAAGAATGAGAATATTACCAAAATACAATTACTCAATTCTCATTGCACTAAGAATAACTATCTAAATATTGTCAAATATATTAATTATTTAATTAAAATACAGTTCATGTTTCAAGTTTTGTAACTTTTAGAAATATTTACTGTAATTCTCTGCCAACCGGGCGCTGCAATCGAAACCAGCAAACAAAACGAAAACGCATCTAATATATGTATAGTTTCGGTCTCTAAACTTTATAAGCCATTTTGTGCATTGTTCAAGCAGCTGTGCAAAAATATTACTTATCATTTCGTTTCGAGATGTCAAAGCTCGGTTGATTGCCGTTGTCAAGTATATGCGTCTTTGATGCGAATGCGTGGTTATCATACGGCGATGCAATTTTGAATTATTATCATACACGAATCGTGAAAGTCACCTACAGATTTTGTGAAACAAAGAACTTTTCAATATCTTTTATTAACCTTGGGCTGGTCGTCATAACAGTAAGTATCGCCTTCCGAGGAAGTTAAAAATAGTTTGGTTTAGTGAAAAGTCTGTCACACGTATAAAATAGTTTTTCAAATCGAGATGTTGTTCGCTCTATATAACATATAAAGTTTCGTAATGTAGCGTTTAGTTTCTACCTCCTACGAAACTTTTAAACGCGGTTCCTGTTCATAAAACGTCACTTTAAATTTTATTCTGATTGACATTTTCTAGTGAAAATAAGACACAAGAATGTTGTGTGCAAACATATTTCATTATCAATCCCTGGTGATCTATCATTTTCAGATTATGACTGAGGAGAAATGAAAACATTGAGTTTGAAATAGGAGCCATTGCATAAAACCAAATACTTTACATGAATTAAAGTATTTTACATAATAGAATTTTTCCCACAGTTTTGGCATACCTTACGTTAATATATTGAATTAAATAACAATGTAAAACGTATAGAGAGATGCATTTGCCTTTTATTGGTACATTATATTGAGAACTGTATTGATCCTGTGTATTACCGTGGTTAGTATGGCAATATTTATTAAACATTTGCAAATTTCAAATAAAATTTACATAATAGTATATAAATGATAAAGTATTTATTATATTTGAACATGAAAATGTAGCAAACATAAAAGGATAACAGACATTTGTTTACTTTATTATAATATACTATGAAGACTGATGATGTATATTAAATAATGGATTTTGTAACAATTTTTTAATCAAAAAATACTTTGTGATTTGTCTGAATTGTTTGAACTTTGTAAAAATAATTATTATATGTTTTTAAGATGAAAAGTGATAAAATATTTGAATTTTAAATGTTGAAAAGTTTATGAATGGCAGTATTTAATTTTATAATATTTGTTATTTCAGTACACATTTTTTAGTAATTAAATCTCATCACAATGAGTAACGAGAATGTACAAAGTCAACCTGAACAACAAAGCATCGAAGATACAGAGACACCATCAACTTTGCCTACATTCCCAAATTTTAGTCAATCATGTGTGAATGCATGGCTAGATAAAATGAGTAAAGGAGTACTATCCTGTACTCATTTTAAAGAACACTGGCGAACATGGGTACCAAAAATATATAGCCCAGAATTAAATGGTAACTGTTTAGATTGGAATTTTGATGAAGAAGAAGCACAAAAAGTACTGTACGATACATTAGAACAGTTCATCTGCAATGATGATCCACAAGTTGTATTGAAAAAGCTAAGTCAAATGGATAATGTAACATGTGGTAAAGTATTCAAGATGGGTGAACCTACATATAGCTGCAGAGAATGTGGCATGGATTCAACATGTGTTCTGTGCCTGGATTGTTTTAAACAATCAGCTCATCGTAATCATAAGTATAAAATGGGCACTTCTAATGGTGGAGGATGTTGTGATTGTGGAGACAAAGAAGCTTGGAAAAGAGAACCATTCTGTAACATACACTTAGCTGGAACTCAAACTAAAGAATCTCGTGGAAATAAATTGCCTGGAGATATAGCAGAAAGAGCAGTAGTAACTTTTGAGGCAATACTAAGGTATTGCTATGAGATGTTATCTTTAGAACACTCGCCAGGCTTACCTGCTGATTTACGAATAAATGAAATCGATGAAGACCCTTTGTCAGTACCTACTGCAGATACCTATTGTACAGTCCTTTTTAACGATGAGATTCATACATTTGATCAAGTGATAACGGCGCTCATGCGTGTTATGAAATGCACGAACAGAAATGCAGTAGAATTTGTAACAAATGTTGATAGAGAAGGTAGAACAGTTTTGAAATGTTCTGGGTTCCAACATTGTAAAGACTTGAAATACGATATCGAAAAATATACTTCGAGGAATAATAGTCGACCGTTAAAAGTCCTTGTACTTCACGCTCATGTAATTGCTCATCAAACATTTGCTATGAAACTTTTAAATTGGTTACAACAATTTATAAATCACTGCGAAGGTTTCAGAGTACTCTTCAGTAATATTGCACTCAATACAAAATTAACTGACTTTTCCATCGTAGAAGGTATTCTTATGAGAGATTCACAGTTGTGGAAATCTGCTAGAACGCCATGGCACAAATTGTTCATGTCTGGAATGCTTATGGAATATGAAAGCAAAAAAGCTTTGGCAATTATTTTTACAAATAATTATGGTTCTATTATGAAAGATTACATAAGAGATGATCATGCTCATATATTTTCTATTGTTTCATTATCGGTGCAATTATTTACAGTCCCAACATTGGCACATTTTCTTATTGCACATCGTGATGTGTTGTTTATTTTGTTAAACACATTTATATCTGAAAGTTCACGAAGATGTAATGCGGCGGGAAAGTTGGAATTTGAAAGAGATTCCCCTAATATTTCTTTCAAAAGAGCTCACCAAATATTTTATGACTTGCGATATTTGCTTAGCTCTAAACCAGATGTTTGGACTGACGATCTAAGAAAAGGATTCTTACAGGGACTTTCACTGTTACTCACATTATTCTGCAGTATACAATGTATGGATGCTGTGCTGAGGCAAGTTGGTCAACATATGGAGTACGAACCAGAATGGGAATCAGCGTTTAATTTACAAATTAAACTGTCGCCAGTTATTAGTCTTGCACTAGAATGGTGCGGTTCAGATAGAACTGTGTTGATTAAAGCTTTTAGATTGGTCTTAAGAAGATTATATGAACAGCCAGGGCATGAAAATAACCGAACTCAACTGAGAGAATTAGCAGATCACAGTGCAACATGTCTTCAATATAACGTGTCGTTTGAACCAGTATCTATACATCTTCCACTCTCTAGATTTTTAGCTGGTCTCTTTTTGTATCTTGAAAAATACAATCTACACTTTCAAAGTGCAGAATTCATCAATCAAACAAAGCCAACACCGGAACAAATAATAGAACCCGTATTAGTAGCTCAAGTAATGATTTCACAAGTACATGCTGGTATGTGGAGAAGAAATGGATACTCTTTGTTAAATCAATTGTTCTTTTACCATAACGTTAAATGCCGCTCAGAAATGTTAGACAGAGATATTATCTTACTTCAAGCTGGAGCATCGTTAATAGAAAGCAATGAATTTTTGATTCACGTTTTAAATAAGTTCAATCTTCTGCACTGGGCGAATCCAGACTTTGAAACTAATGCTTTGAAAAATCCTGAAGAAGATAATATCAGACAAACTATCAATTTGGTTGAAGAATTTCTTGGATTATTGATAACAATAATTGGG